TGTTGCCATCATCATTTTCAAAACATTTTCTTTCTACTTGAGCCCTTGGTATTAGTTCGTCGCCCCCCACCCCCCACCCCAGGAACTCTTGATGTATATTTTTCTCATGTCTTACACTGACCGCTGTCTCCCTTCACCCACTTTTCTGTTGTTCATGCCCCACAAATACCTTTTCAATATCATAAAGCGTGACTAAGCACATGGACTTCACAGATAAAATGGAGAGGAATCGAAGGGTCCTGCGTACATGGGAAGGGACGATGGAGAAGCCCAAAGTCAGCAGGCAGAATGAGGCCAGGGGTGGACAGTGGAACAGACCGTCAGCCCCTTATATGTAGGTTCAGGATGAAGTTGAATGAGTTGAAGGAAATTCAACAAGGCCACGAGAACCAAAATACAACTTTGTGTCTCTCCATGCGAATTACGAGACTACCTCAAAAATAGATGTCACACACTGAACACTCATGACCGAAAGCTCGATGAGCTGTGGAATGACATCAAGACCGTCATTCACAAAGAAAGCAAAAGGCCACTAAAAGACAGGAATGCAAGAAAAGATCCAAGCAGGTGTCAGGAAAGACTCTGAAACGTGCCCTTGATTGGAGAGCAGCTAAAGCAGACGAACGATGATGAAGTCCAAGAGCTGAACGGAACACTTCAATAAGGAGCTGGCAAAGTCAAGTGTGATGAAACGTGCAAAGACCCGAAGTTGGAAAACCAAAAAGGAAGGACATGTTAAGCCTATCTTAAGCCCAAAGAACTGAAGCAAAAATTCTATTCTAATTGAAGGATTCTTTGGGCAAAATATTGAACGATGCACGAAGTATCGGGGGAAGATGGAAGGACTACACAGTCACTGTGCCAAAAAGACCTGCTTGCCAGCCATCCGTGTCAAGAGGTAGCACGTGATCGAGAACTGATGATGCTACAGGGACGCGTCCAAGCTGCACCGAAGGCATTAGCGGAGAAAACAAGGCTCCAGGAATGGATGGAGTACCAACTGAAACACTTCCACAAGCTGATGACGCACTGGCTGCACTCACTCATCCAGGCCCCCAAATTCGGCAGCCAGCTACCTGGCCAGCCAACTGGAGGAGATCCATAATTGTACCTATTCCAGAGAGAGGTGGCCCGAAAGAATGCGGGGAGTATCAGAACAATATCAGTACTATCAGATGCAAGCAAACTGTGCTGGCCATCATGCAGCAACGCACACAGCAGTACATCGATAGGGAACTGCCAGACATTCAAGCCAGATTCAGAGGAGAGGTGGGAGGAAGAATACCCTTGCTGGAAGCAGGAGGGCACACCAGCAAGGTATTAACTTGTGTTTTATGGACTGTGCAAAAGGCAGTTGACCCTGGACTATGACAAACTGTGGACAGCATTGAGAAGAATGAGAATTTTGAAACACTTCATTGTGTTCATGTGGGACCTGCACATGGACCAAGAGACAGGCATTGGAACAGAACAAGGGAAGGCTGCATGGCCAGGCTTGCCTCCTTTCACCACACTGCTCAATCTGTACGCTGAGCATGTGCTATGAGAAGACGGAGCACATGAAGCAGAATGCACACTGCGATATGCAGATGACGCAAGCTGGCTGGCTGAAAGCAAGAAGGTCCCGAAACACTTGCTGAGGAAGATCAAGGACTGCAGCCTCCAGTTTGAGTGACAGCTCAATGGGAAGAAGACCCACAGCCCCACAACGGACTAATAGTCAACATCAGGATGGAGAACGGGTCGACGCTGTCGAGGGGTTCCGCCTCCTGGCATCTGCAGTCTCCATGTTCCTGGATGGCAG